CAAGTTTACATACAAACTTGTGTAGAAGTGTACGGAAACCGAAGAGAATTTCCCGAAATTTCCTCAGAATTTCAATATTTTCCCCCTACACTGTGGTGGTCCGACTCAGATGATGCTGTCGGTGATTCCGCTAGCGGCAATCGCTACTATGGTATACGCCAAATTTGTAGAGCAGCTGTCGAAGGACTACCAGAAGGAGCTGGCCTCGTCCACTGAAGTAGCGAGCGAAGCTCTGAGTAACATTCGCGTTGTGAAGACGTTCCCTCGAGGGGAGGCTAAGGCCGAGACTCGGTACCACACCTTTGTCGAATCATCTCAAGGCTGTGTACAGGTACTCCCAGCATATTGATCGGAGCTATGCTATCGGGGTTAAGAAGTCGTTTGGTCTAGGAGGCTTCGGCTGGGTGGTGGGTATTATGATATATGTGTCGATGACAGGCGTGGTATGGTATGGTGCTGGCCTGGTCCTCAGTGGAGACATGCTCCCTGGTCGAACTTCTCCTACCATAAGGCTGTTTGTGTGTATTCTCATCAGGTACGCTCATGGCGTTCCTATTCTACAGCGTAGGCAGTATCGGAGGGTCTGTGGCGGGCTTATCGGAGGTAGTCTCCAAGCTAGCCGAGACGATGGGTGCTACAGCCAAGGTCTTCGAGTATATTGACAGAGAACCACAACAGGTGGTCGAGGTGTGTTCCACAACGAGAAGTCGTATCACCATCGTTCCAAGCAGGTCTCTGAGGAGGCTGACTACGAGCCGATCATATGCTCTGGTCGCCTTTCCTTTACTGAGGTTCGTTTCCACTACCCGAGTAGAGCGGATATCGAAGTGCTCAAAGGTGTGACCTTCAGCGTGGAGCCAGGCCAGGTGATTCCTTCAGCTGTTGATAGCACCAATCTGTGGAGCCTTGTGGTAGACAATGGCTCTGGTTGGCCGCAGTGGAGTTGGCAAATCGACTTGCATTTCCCTTATACTGCGTTTTTATGACCCTACGGCTGGGATGATCGCGGTGGATGGGAGGAGTTTGGCGACGCTTAAGGACGACTGTTTGAGGAGGAACATCTCTCTCGTGGCGCAGGTGAATAAGTGCGGTGTCTGGGGATCGAACCTGCGACCTATTAGGAACCCGTGCTTTTCTCAACGTCCATCATGGATAACATTAAATACGGCACGGATGGAGATGTCACTCGCGAGGAGGTGAGGGTCACCCGTTCATAGTAGCCTCCGGTCGATCCGACTACGTTGAGTTCATGGCACAGGTTGAAGCGGCCGCTAAGGCAGCGTATTGTCATGAGTTCATCACGTCCTTTCCAGAAGGCTATGACACCCTCGTTGGGGAGAGAGGAGTGCAGCTGAGTGGAGGGTAAGGGAGGCGGAAGAGGAAAGGACGGTGATGGTGACTGGTTCAGGCAGAAGCAACGAGTAGCTATAGCACGGTCCATGATAGCATCCCCGAGGATACTACTACTGGACGAGGCGACCAGCGCTCTTGATGCTGAGAATGAGAGGAAGGTTCAGGAGGCCTTGGATGAGTAGAGCAGGGGAGTTGCGGTGTAGCATCAGGAGTGTCTGGCAGGCTGAGCTCCTCACGAACAACCATAGTGGTCGCGCATCGGCTGTCGACAGTGCAGAACGCTGATGTGGTCGTTTACATGGAAGACGGTCGGGTAGCGGAGATGGGCTCCCATCAACAGTTAGTGTCGAGGAAGAACGGCAAGTGAGACGACGAAGTCAGCAGCAGTTGGGGAAGGCAGAGCTTTGGTAGGTACGCAACTCTCGTGCGGCTGCAGCTTGATCATGGCTCGACATCGTTTCTGGAATGAATTCTGGCTCGAGAACGGTGGAGTTGTGTTGAAAAGTCTCGGGTTGGTACTTGATGCCGTTATGAAGTGACGTACACCAGTCAATGGCCGGAAGCGAGGGTATCCATTACAGCATTTGGGTGTCGCCATCACCAACGAGCGAGATTTCTGAAGAAGTGTTCAAGCTAGAGAGGGACGCCCATAAGGCTTGTCCGGCGATGAAAGAAGCCACATTCCAACCGCATATCACAATTGTTGGCTCCTTCATGGCGGCTAGCGATGAGATGGCGAAATCCAGAGCCAGGGAGCTCGCTATGCAAGCCACAACGGGCCCGTTCATGGTTGAGTTCGATGCTGTACCTTCGGTGGTTGAGGCTGACAAATGGAATATGGTTGTCGTGTTCTGGATCGATGACGACCATGGTCACTTATTGGCTTTGCACAAGGCGTTTGGAGGCAGTGGGAAAGGGTACACACCCCACATGTCTCTATGCTACGGCTGCTCATCTAAAGAGGAACGCGAAGACCTTGCCGAGGTGATGGCGAAGTCTACAACACTGAGTGGTCGCTGCCGTTTTGATGTTGACTCAGTAGAGCTGTGGAGAACAGAGGGCAGCCTCGGTGGTGTTGCTGGCTGGAAGAAAATTGATCGGATTGCTTTATGAAAAACACTATCATTTCGCGTCTCTGTGCACTGGAGTTGGGTTCAAGGAGATATGTAGTCATGAACGGTACAGGAAACCGCGTGAGATGAGTATGACCGCCGTTTCGTCGTCTCCATTACTGCTTTCTGGGGGGATTATACAGTGTGATAGTAGCGTCTCTGAGGCAACGGACTCCGAGCGAGAGTCGCTATTCTGGTAGTCATCGTCTTCGGAGGGATAACACCATGGTCAAGGTCAGTGTTGAGTGTTTTCACACAGTTGGAATGAAAATGTACTCATAAGTGACCTCCTCGCAGTGATGCCCCAGGAGTAGTTCCTTACCAGGGGCTCCCCGTGCCTTCTTACGTATGAAGGTCGACTGGCAACACAAAAGACTCCTTTGAAATCATAACATTGATATAAGTATCTCAGCATCTTATACAACAACAGCATAAAAGTAAATGCAAAAACTCAAGGCGCTGATGACGCACATGAGGCCACTCGGCATGAACTTGCGAGTTTTCACGTACCTGAAGGAAACCACTGGCAGCCGTCACACTAAGGTAGCAATGAACTCACCTCGAGTAGAAAAACACGGCGAGTACGAGCGCAATGGCAGCCAGGCAGAAGAGTCCCGTCAAGTTATCATAGGAAGACCCAAGCTTCGCCGCAGCGAAGACCAGCACGCCAGAGATGGTGCCGGCAATTAGTGACGGCTTACTCTTGGCCTGGACGAACCCGATAGCCTAAAGGTAGATCAAGAGGAAGTCATGATTCTCAACGACTGACAATCTCAACAGCTACACGGTGAATGAACAGGGTCTTCGAGATGTAACCTTACCCCTCCAACGATTAGTAGCAGGGCGTAGAAGAAGGCTTCATCGAATGCGAAGGCGACGGCGCTCATCTCGAGAACAACGAGACCGTTGGATGAGCTCTCCCAGCAACCAACCCCGTACAACCAAAGACCCAAAGGAATAGCATGTGAAACTCGACAGTCATCAATGTACACCACGCTGCCATCTGGCTCTTGTCGCCCCTGTTGTCATTATCAATTCTGACGAGTGCCGCGAAGATGCCGATGAGCAATATTTCAAATAACGCCATGAAGCTGCCGGTATGAACTTGGAAGTCTGCCGGTACCTATGGGGGAAAACTCCAGACCATTGATGGTATGGATGTACCCTGTAGTGCAGAATAGCACTGGTGAGCCTATCACAACGAGCTGTGCTCTCCGTAGGCCTCGTCAATACTGTGGGAAAGGACAGGGTTGAAATCGTGAGGACACCAACCTAGCATACCATAACCGATGTGGTTGCCGAGATCGAGCTAATCTGAAGCGCTGATGGTGACCTTGGAAGCAACCTGTACGTAAAGATGGGATACGGGCACTGGTAGTAGGAGGGAAATCGAGCTTACCGTGAGGAGGGTCGCCGAGAAGACCGCTCTATCATCATGGACGGACATTAATCGAAAGTGCCTTAGCCCGGCGATTAACTTATTAACGAAACCACCAATAGAGGGTTGACAAGGGCCAAAGCATGGATGTATTCAACTACGATAGGTCGCCAGGTAAGTGGCAAGATTAGACATAACTTCAACTTCACCATCTAGGGGGGACGGTGAGGAGCCGAAGGGGGAGGAGGACATGCTGCTCATGGGGGAAACACCACGGAGAGCGTTGCCGAACTTGGCCTTAACAAAGGGATCCTCGAATGCAGCAAGGGCCTTCTGGGAGGGCCAGAAGAATACAAATGTTCTGAAATCAACCAGAGCTGAACAGGTCAACGACCGTAGCATAGGAGCTTCCCCCTACCTCGGGAAAAGCGACAAAAAATCTCTGATCGGGAAAGAGTAAACTTTCTTATCATGACGCAGCCGCGTCCAAACACCTTCCCTTCCTGTCCTCCTTCGAAAGGCATTCTGAAGCGCACTACACCGCCACGGTAGTCGCTGAGGTGGGCATATGTTCAGCTCGGGAACACTGAACTGTCCACAGAGGCCACGATTCCTTCGGGCCTTCCTATCCGCAGGAGGCGTTGTCGTTGTTATGATCTCCAATAAGATCTCAGCATCTGATGATACGGGGAGTTGGGAAGGACCACTAGTCCGACTCTACCGAGTTTCATCTTCATCCAGGTCTGGAACTCGAACCTGACGAGCTTCCCATGCCGGACTACCTTCAGCTTGTCGTAGAGGTCGACACTCGTCAAGCTCCTGGATGTTTGTAGCTAAGGAAGAGAAGATAAATTCCAGTAGGGAGCAATAGGAACCTTACTCCGTCCTTAGACTCTCCAACGCTGGTATCGTCAAGACCGACCTCGTTCGTATCTTCCATCGCGGACCTCAAGATACCCTCAACCTCCTTAACAACCGCTCGTCCTCGTCGTCGTCGTGGAGGCGGTCTTTCGTCGTAGAGGAGAATCTCACTGCCACTCCCCTTCATGTAGCTCATCCCCTTCGTGAGATGAACTCTACAGTATAAGTGTGGCCACCTACGCACATACGGCGTGGCCTTCTTGTAATAGGGAACTTCATCACCAGCCGGTACACAAGCTCGGGGTCTACTACACATTCCGACAAGGGGAAAAGATGGAACTGGGATGGTAATCATCCCCATAGGCCCTTAACGTGGTCAACGAGACTAGTAGGTAATTATGGAAACAGTAACTATTCTATGACGTTGGTGCTGATGGATATTATTCATATCTTGCCTCCACGGACTTCACCAGAGATTCCAACGACTTCCCCTTCACTTGTCGTCGCCATCCTGTGATCCCACCTCCTGTCGATCCACCACCTTTGGCCGCCTTAGCACCGACAGAGGCAGCCTTCTTAGAGAACACTGGAGGGGCCTCAATCACTTCACCGAACGCTGGCTTCACCGTCACCGGCGCCTCCTCCTCCTCTTCCTCATCAGCAGCCTCATCGTCAGCACCCTTCTTCGTGAGGAGCGGCGGCCCCTCTTGGGTTTCATGTTGTTGTAGAGCAGCCATCTTGGCAAGGGCTTCCTCCAGGCGAGGGATCTTAGGCAGGACCAAAGGCTTCATAAGATTAGGAACACCATCTTCGTCGTAGTCTGGGCCGAACTCAGAACGCTTCTTTTTCCCCTTCCCCTTCCCCTCCTCCCCCTCCTCGTCAATCGTCTGATTCTTCCTCTTCTTGGTAGCAGTCTTCTCTACGACGGATCCTTTTCCCATCTTCTGTCGTCGGAGATCAGCCTTGTGTTTCATCAAGGCATGCCTCTCACGATTGGTCAGCTTCTTCGCCTCACCAGCCTTGGCTACTCCCACTACTACCTCCGTTGTAGGACCATCGACTTCCCCTTGAGCTCCGGTAGCCTCCCCTCCAGGAACTAGTAGATCTTCATCATCATTCTTCGGTGCCTCATTGCGGCCTTCAAAGTCCTTCGCCAAGGGAGTCCTGAGATATCGGCGACCTCTACTACTCATGATAGCAGCGATGCAATCGTGCGCGAAGAAGTCGATTCCATTATTCATTTGCGACCTCCTCCACGTCTAATTGCTTCTATCTACATCTCATCGCGACTGTCCAATACATTCAGCAATCATGAGTAAGATCGATTCGAAATGATTTCAGAAGTACTCGAACGAAAGTCGGCGGCTTACCTCTGTTCAGCGAACTTAGTCACTTTCCTATGTCGGCCTAGTCGACCCCCTCCTCGACGATTCTCGTACTTTCGATGTCTCATTGAGATATGATGAATAGAAGAGGGAAATGTCTCTAAAGAGGTCTTGGAGCAAGGAGTATTCGGCGGAGGGCCTTCTTCTCAGCTACGTGGCCTTTACTGTAACAGTCGGATAAAAGTTTATATTTTGAGGAGCATCGCGACCCGACCGCCCCGGGTGACGACCCGAAGTGGAAGGGCGCGATTCGCAACAATGCGACGATCGGGAGGGATATGCTTCCGCTCGGCAACATTTTTTCCTCTACTGTCAACTTTTCCGCGCTCTGTGACGACACGATCGGGAAAGATCGGCGCAAGTCGTATCGCGCACGCCCGAATATCTGTGGAGTAATAAGTATCTGAAACGATTGGATTTCTGTAACCGCTCGTTGGAGCGACCTTGAAGTATTGACTGAGTATTAGAGTCTTATTACGGCTATTATTGCTGTAACGCTAGTCAGCGCTCTGAGTATATCTGTAACTAATTGAATCTAAGTTAGTCTTGTCGCGCTGAGTCTGGGATGGTTATTACACGCAGTGTCTATCAAGAGTCTGGTGAGCCTTTAGTATCGCTAAGAGCATCTAGGATTCCTCGATTGAGGTCTAGATCATCCTCTGCTTCTTCTCTACAGCACAGGAACCATCATGCTTCCAACATAGCTATCACTACTGACGTCTCATCAACCGTCCCACCCTCACAGCTCGCCCTGCGGACAAGATTCATATTCCCAACTTGGGAAGCCCAAGGGATATGAGCGACTCTCAGGGTGTGCCGCTTTCTCGTTCGATATGCTTCTTCCTCTCATGGACGTAACTGAAGACTTAACACTACGTCGGGTTTCTGGTTCACATGGGTAGCATATTCAAGTTGAATAACAGCTCGGGTTTCGGGTTACCCTTTCTCCGTTTTCACCGGTAGTTTCTTCTTTCTTGGCAGCCACGAGTTTGGATTGCACTCAATGCTTTACAGCCATTACCCGGGTAACAGCTTTAACTTCTTATTCAGGCTCACGAACAAGCAACGAAGCAATTAAGTTTATCCCTAAATGAAGACCCTTTCCAGAAGACGTGGATTTTAATTATGAAATATTCAAGGACAAGTACGGAGGT